ATGGTAAAAAGAAGATTTGACCGTTGTCCCATCGCTCCTGTTGCTGTACCCTGTCGGTCGTGGCTGACGTAGCGGGTGCTCGCAGGGGCATTAAATAGATGGGACAGCCTGTCAGAGGGACGATCGAGGCAGAGGCGACGAGGACACGGGACGAGCCCGGCCTCGGGCGAGGCGGAGCGGGGTCGGGACGTCCGAGACCCTGACCGGGGGCCTCGGGCAAGGCGAAGATTTGGCCCGAGACCAGATTCGGCCGAGCCGGCCTCGGACATCACCGTGAACTGTGTCCTTAGTCTGACTAAGGAGGCCTCATGAGGGTTTTATGAGTTTTTTTTCGGCCTTTGCTTAAGGTACCCCTTTTTACGGTACCCGACACTACTATTTTGGCTCCATTAGGAATTTCTTCTAAGTCCTAAATATCGTTGGTATTCATCGACTTCATTTCAACTTTCATAGCTTCTTGCCATTCAAACGAGTAAACGCTTCTCATGGCTTCTTCAAATAAGGTGAGATCACCCTCCATTTGAATTTTTTCACTAACATAGACTTCATAGTCATCAGGAAAATTGGTTTACTAATTCTTTAAGACCTTCTGAGGCCTCAGCTACTAGCACTTTCATATGGGACTTTTGTTGCTCTTCATTGCCAAGAGGCAATTGATTCTATAGGCTCCTGTATCACAAGATCTTTATTTACATTATTCATCTTCTTCGAAGAGCCAACAACAGGTGTTCTATAAGTCATACAACATCAACAGGGATTGAGAAAATTCATTGTTTTGAATCACTAAAGTGGGCACGTAATTCCGCTTCTCTTCAAGTCATAGGTCTCTACATACCGTGCTCCCCCAAATCATCCCATCTTTTATAAAGATAGTGTATCTTCAAATTTCTTATTTGGGTTTAATATGTTAAAACCTTATATGTCGCTTTAAGCACCATCTTAATATCTTTGATGGTGACTACGCTATCTTTCTCTCGGAACTTTAAAAAAATCCAGAAATTTAGCTATTTCTCTTCTTAGGGTATTGTTGTTGTGACCGTTGTACTCCTCCGACGGTCACATTCATCTTAATTAATCTTTATCTCACTTTTAATGAAGAGTATCTTTCTTAATTGATCTTACTATTTCTCCCCCACGAAATATGGCATGAACTTTACTGCCATAATTTTGAGAACTATTCAGAAAAACTGTGAACGAGAAGACACTTATAACTTACTTCATTCACTTGATTATGTCATGCAAACAAAGTTATTTCTTGATCCGTATAGCAGTACACTTTCTTCATTCCACTTCAAGAACTCATCGAGGTGTTTTATTAGCAGTACTTTTATAAGTCACGCTTGCATTTCTTTCTTATCTTTTGATTAGTATTGACCATGACGGTACATTTCTATTGTGCCATGGTCAATACTAGGATAGCATAAGAGCTACCCAAACTTCTCTTGCTATGCGGGATACAATAACATATGAGTCATCACAAAAACTTCTCCTACCATGTAGGATGGACTAGCATAAGTACTATGCCAAATTTCTCCCCTTGCGGGATAAATCTATATATAAATTACTGTAATGAAAAATTTAGTCATGATAACTAAAACATTCACTTATACTTTATTTTTCAATTAAATCTTTCTATTAGTTCCAATTTAATGAGAAAATTAGTAAACTAACAAAAAATTGTCTAGAATTGGCTTGACTCAAGCCTTTTCATTCACATACCCCAGCATTGCAACCCGTTGACATGCAGCCGAATGATCTCGTCGGTTAAAAAATAAAACTTGCAAGATGCTTCTGCATCAATTCTATATCACCGTTGGGCAGAAAATAGAATTAATGCATAAAACTCATAAATTAACTTGAAAGACATATTACTACCTTTCAAAATTAAATTCTCCCGTTGGTTCAAATTTAATTAGAAGATAATCAACATCATTGCAGCGAAACACGATAATAAAATACATTCTATTAGTTTAGAAACATTTCTTGGTCCTTATCTACTCTAAAAATTTGACCATGTTGGTGTAAAATTTATCAGAGATTTAAACCTCAAACTTAAACTCATTATAATATTGTCATCATCAACGTTGGTCAGAAAATGACAATACCATAATCTGACTTAAACAAAATCGGACTACTCCTCTAATTTAAAATCTCCCGTTGGTTCCAATTTAATTAGAGGATAAACATAATCATAATTTACTAAAAGTAACTGCTATTCAAATTAAATTCTCCCATTAGTTTGAATTTAATTAGAAGATAATCAGCATTAAATTTTGCAGTGGAAACATGAAATAAAAATTGTTTATTTACTTTTCAGAAGCATTTTACTGTACTGATCTACTCTCTAAAAAATTTTCCCGTCGGTTCAAATTTGAACAAAGATTGAAACTGGACAAAAAAAATCATCAAAATTTGTTTCTAAAAATAATAAACAAAAACTCAGTGTTTACTATTCATTTGGCCCGACCTATCGGAATAGTACGTAGCCCAATCTGTTTCGCGTCCGCACGCACGGCCCAGCGGCGGCACAACACGGCGCGCGCGCCCGCTCCCCCACACCCAGGTCACAACCTAGGCCTGGGACGAGAATTTGCTCGCCCACGTGGGCTGATTCTGGCCCGAGCGACGCCAGCCATTGGATCGCATCGGACGGCCATCTGCGCTCCTCGCGAGATCAAAACGCCGTTGCGGCCGGTTCACCCAAACCCTAAGTCATTTCTCTTCTCCCTCCCTCTCCTCTCCACGCCACGGCGGAAAAGCGAGAGCAGCGGAGCAGCGCCACCGCCGGTCCCCTCGCCGGCGTGCGCGCTCGCCCTAGGCTGAGTGCGCCACCGTCGAGCGATCTGGGCGACGGTGCCCTATTCCCCAAAACACGCTGCGGTGGGGCTCTTCCCTAAACCCTAGCTCCTCCCCTTTCTCCTCAGTGCAACAGATGTCAGAGAAGAAGAGTGGGGCGTCGCCGTGGGTCCCCTCGTCGGAGCGCGCACTCCCTAGTGGGTGAGCGAGCCGCCGTCGAGCGGTCCTGTGTCGGCGCCCTGAGTCCGCGCGCCGATGACCCAGCGTCAAGCGGCGGCTCGGCCTGTTCTGCCCGCGCGACAGCGGTGGTGACGGCGGCGGGAAGAACCGGGTAGGTCCTCCCCTTCTTCGTCTTTACTTTCTAGGGCTAGGGTTTCAGATTTGGGGTTTCAATCCGATTCGAATCAACTCCTTCTGAATTTCTTCGTGATTTCTACCCCAAAGACTAGATCTACACACTAGGACCTGGCTTTGATAGCATTGATAGATTTTTTGGACCATCTAGGCGTAGATCTAGTGGGTAAAACATAACTTAGATAAGGACTTGGTGATGTACCTCGTCGCATGCAGTGGCGGCCATGGCGCCGCCGCGACGTGGCCACTGATGTCGGAGTAGAAGTAGCATCATAGTGGGGCACAGTCCAGTAGCGACACCGATGGAGCTTCCCGTCGCTCACAGCACTCTCCTCTTGATCGGACTAGGGTTAGACTTAGTAGGGAACTGGTGGCAGCAGTGAACCTCGTACCTTGTGCCCCAGCCCCCACCTTTCTCTTTATAGTGCTACGCGACGGGGGGCTATCAGCCAGGAGAACGGCTGGGCGCCCCCGATCAGGGCGCGGATTAAGAGCCCAATTGGACGTTGGGCCAATTTGGTGGAGATCAACCTAACACTTCACGCTAGCATCTCATCTTTTTCCCTCGAAATGACAACTTCCTGCACCCCTGCTTAGGACCTGTTTGTATCCCCCAACTAAATTTTAACCGACTAAATTTAGCTACTAGACATCAAACGATCCAACTAAAAGACCGGCTAAAGTTTAATTGAGAGTTTAGCCGAGTCTATTAGCTGGAGTATCCAAATACTGTTTAGTTGGGAGAATTTTTAGTTAGCTAAAATTTAGCTTTCAAAATTTTAGCTAACTAAACTTCAGCCGGGGCCGCTCCGCGGACACTAGGTCGCTAGCTCAAAGTCAGTAATCTGGTCAACCGGAGTTAGGATTGGCAATTTCTCTGATTCCTCTCTTCTTCATGGAAACGACAAATTTTACACGCCTTTGCCAGCCGGGTCGCTTGAGTACGTACTACAGTGCTAGTCAAAACTTTGTACTGTACTTTGGCTGGGTAGTATGTCAGGAGTAACTCATGCAGTTCAGTCGGGTCAGCCAGACTTTCGTCCTGTCGTTTGTGCCGTGCACATAGAATCCGTGCCGACCTTCTCGCAAGACCGTTAGTCTCCGACCCTGAAACGCATACCGGGCGACCGAGCTGTGGCGTGTGACGCCTTTCGCCCATGCGGGCATGCCAGTATTAGCGTGACTCGTGGGTTTTGTCGTCGCCAGCGTGATTCGCAGTGCTACGCTACGCCCAGTACTGGCAGCGGCGAGCCGCCCCGGCAACAATTGCACGCCAAGCACAGTGCCTTCCGTCTCCGTCAAGAGTTGCTGGTTCGATCTGTAATATAGTTAAATCTGCCCCCGTGGCACGGCAGCGATCCATGATTGCGCCATCATTGCCAGTGGCGCTTCTTAAACTTTGTCATGGGCCGGTTACTGACGATGAGACGCGTCCAATCGGATCGGTATGAACAGCGTGATAGTCCTCGAACCTTTGTTCTACTCATTTCTACACCGATCAAGCCATGACAAAAAGAGAAGGTACTGCTAGTGCATATACATGGACAGCCGCGGCGACGTCAGGGTGCGCAACACACCAGAACAGGCCAGATGGTTCATTCCATCCATCCACTCCGTGCGTGCTGCCTGCACCGTCACGAACACCGTACCCGTACGTGATCGAGCGAGCCAGCGCCGCGCGCCGCCCGCCGCCCGATGCTTACAGTCCACTCCCCACCGCATCCGCATATGACGCCATGCGCGGCTGGCACCGCACCTTCCCACCTTCCTCCGCTAGCCCCTAGGCGCTTACAGAGTATAAATCCAACAACGGACGCGAACCAACGCCGCAGGCTGTGCATCGTCTAGCGATGGAAGAGTTACAGGAAGCCGACGTGCTGTGGCCAGACGTGTGGCCAGACGTCGTTACCCTTGCCCACCACCACCACCACGACTGCCACCGCCACCGCCCGGCGGACTCCTCCCACGGCCACCGCCGCCAGCACCTCACTGGTCAGCAACCACGCGCCGCGGTCGTCCACCCACCACTGCAGTCCCCGCCCGTGCGCATCCCCTCGATGCCGCCGCCGGCCACGCGGGCGGCGCGCCCGACGAGCCGGGAGGACTCGTGGACGCGCAGCTACTACGGCGATGACGACGACAGCGCTGAAGAAGTGGGGATCGTGCCGCCGCACGTGCTGGCGGCGAGGCGGTGCGCGGAGGATCAGCGGAGAGGGATGGCCTCGTCGGTGTGCGTGGGCCACGGGCGCACGCTCAAGGGCCGCGACCTCCGCGCCGTCCGCAACGCCGTGCTCCACATGACCGGATTCCTCAGCAGCTCCGACAAGTACTGACGGACGGCTATAGTAGATTATTAAGCAGCGCACGATTAGAATCGTTATATTTCAGCAATCTAAAGTCAGGAATGGCAGCCGGATAGTCGTGTATTTTTTTTTTTTGGCATCCAATTATATTACTGGGGTTTGAACTTTGAACCAGGCACAACCAGTGCCAATGTGCCATGCTAACGTGGCGCGGTAGATAAATTAAATCAGCATGCTGGGTGTAATTTCTGCGGCACTTGCTAGATGGTATATACATCCAGATAGCAATCTAATACTCAAATCTAATGCATTGCAATGAATAAAAGTTCTTGTCGAACTATGTTTATATGTCATCTTGGTTACCGCGCAAATCAACATGATGTGGCTTGCGATGTGCTTGACTTGATCGTTATTTACCATATCATCAACTCCTCTAGCAGTAACAAAATGGCTTCAAAAAAAAAAGATTTCAGGAGATAGCCTTCTTATTAAGAGAGGTGGATGTTTTTTGACGCCGTCTCTATGCCTCTATGGCTACAGACTACAGAGTACATACCATTTGATAGAGGTTGCACACCTCTAAAAATTGAAAAAGAAAGTATTTCTTATAACAGATAACAGTGGAGACTGCTAGTTCCATATTTGCGCTGTGATGTGAACTCTGTCGCAGGGCTTGGCAGAAGAAACGAAGCGGGCGAAGCTGGAGATGCATGCAGCGACAAAACGGCAGGTGGTTTCTGGCTCGCGAGGAAACTAACAAAAAGTGACTCGTCAGATCAGCTGGTAATATAGACATGGAGTAAAAACCGCACACAGAGAATGAGAGAAAAGGAAACCTTGGCCAGTACCGGTTTTATGCCCAATCTGTTCTTCTCGTACGAGCTCCGTTTAAAGTAAACACACGCCATTGGTGGTGTGCAGTGCACGCGTGTAGAGACTCCGTGCCCATCCCTTTCAGAGATGACGCGACATTGCTGGCCATACAAAGTGAGGGTCCGTCCAGACAGGGTAGGCACTTCGGAGGCAGGATGTGGACAGCAATGGGTACAATAGGGTGAACCCTCCTGGGCAGCAGCTGGTTAGTGGGTGAGACAGTGTGCTGATTAGCCGCTAATCCGTGGGCTGCTGACGGAGCAAGCTTTGTGTTTCCATCTGATTTGTCTCATCAGCAGCGAAAATCAGGTCATCCATGTCCTACTCGTGTCCAGATGCAATGAGGCAATAGAAATATTTTTGAAGAATTGCACGGTCCGTATCGCTGATTGATAAAAGTTTCTGTTGTCTCAAAAAGGTCTCTTGGGATAGATTTTTTTTTTTTTTTTTGAGGAGGTCTTTTTTTTTAGGGTAGAGGGGAAGGTCTCTTGGGATGGGATGGATACAAATCGGAACCGAGTGCTGTTTCCATGACATGTAAGCTCATTACTGTTTTGCATACTGTAAGTAACATTTGAGGTGGTCTATTGGGCCGTAATTTGTCCAAGCCCATGCGAATATGACCTGGCCTGGTTTGCCAAGGCCAGATCGGCCCATACTCCGGCCTTTCAGCTCATCACTCCGGCCAGATCGGTCACTTGTTCGGCTGTTCCCCTCTGGACTCTGGTTGGTGGTCTGTCCTCTGCCCCTCGTCGAGGTCTGGAGACAACCATACTAAATGGCGAACGCCCGACTAAATTAAATCTAGCGAATGATTTTCAGGTAACAAAAATCAATCCTGCCTATATCCTTTTCTGAATGGAACCACGCGCGCAGCAGCCATTCTCCTCTTAAGACGTGCTTTCCCAAGCTGCTGACATCATTAAAAAAAGGAAAAAAATTATTTCAAAATGTTATAACTTTTAAACGGTGTATCCGTTTTTAATTCCGTTTGTACCGGTGTGTTCTACGCGACGAAGTGAATAAAACTAGACCCCACTTACATGTGTTTCAAAGAATTTTTTTTCTAGTAGCAATTTATGTGTACCAACTCATATAACTTATAACATATGACTTATGCCAAAAACTTATAAATACAAAAGTTATGAAAACACAACTTATGTAAAAAAGTTATAAAACCCAACATATGTTAATAAGTTATTCTAAAAATTTATATACTTAAGTTATTCTATATAACTTGCCAACGCTGCCCAATAAAAATTAAGATAAAAACTTGTGTTAATAAGTTCTGCTCTGCAAAATTTTATATTGTAAAAGTTGTGACATATAAGTTGTGGTAATATGTTGTGCATAAAAAGCTACGTGTATAGCTTGGTAATTTTCCAAAAAAAAAGTTAAGTGTATAACTTGTTTGTATAACTTAAATATATATAAGTTGATGAATGACTTATACGTAAAGTTGGACGTATAAGTTATATTCCATAACTTAGTTTTACAAATTAATATCATAATATAATAGCAGAAATATGAAACTATATATGAAAAATAACTATGTAGTACTCCCTCCATACTAAAAAATAAAGTCGTTTTAGATAAGGCTTGGGTCAAACATTGGAAATATAAATCATGAATAACTTTTAAATTGTTGAGTTTAGAAATGTGAAAACCATATGTATAGATTTGTCTTGAAAAATACTTTCATAAAAATTTACATATATCACCTTTTGATAAATATCTTTATAAAAATAAGTAGTCAAAGTTATGCTTTGGAGACTGTGTAGCTGGCTAAACGACTTTTTTTTAGTATAGAGGGAGTATAACTTATAGATATGTATAAAAAGAGAAAAAATGGTAGAAAGAAAAAAAAAAGAAAAATAAACGTTCGTACAGGTGCAGCCAATAGCTAATGTTATGAGACAAATCTGACTAATGTACCACGGAAAGGGGGAAAATATTTAAGAACGAAGTGGAACCTATAAAGAAAAAAAAACGGCACAGAATGATTAAAGGAAAAGGAACGGAGGGATCCGTGCGGGTGGACGCATCGTTCGTGGGGAGAAATGCAGTGAATGACCGATCAACGGGTCTGGAGATCTCATGGGATGGTACCCGATCCCCCCTCCCCGCTGCAGAGAACCAAGAAACCGGCGTAGCAGATGAGCGGGACGAGTGCTGCCTCGCATCGGCCGATCAAGCCATCGCCACCATCCCACTCTCCGGGACGGTTAGCTCTGAGTCTGACATGCCCCTTCGCGTCGCCGCTGCTGCTATTACTCGCCGCCTCCGCCGCCGCTGTATTCCTCTACTCCCTGACCGCCGCCCGCTCGTACGAGTCCCGCGGCGAGGTTCCGTCCCTCTCCTCCCCGACGGTGGAGACCATCGAGAGCGCGCGCGCCATCTGGGAGCTAGCCGCCGCGGCGCCGGCCAGGGCGGTCCTCTTCGTCGCCCACGGCTGCCGCTGCCGGCCGGAGAACTTCTGGCCGCCGTCCCCGCACTGCCCGGGGTGCGTCGGCCTGCCGGAGGACGTCGCCATCACGGACCGCGCGCTGCGGAGGGGGTTCGCGGTGCTGGCCGTTGCGAGCGCCAGGGAGTGCTGGTCGCTGGGGAAGGAGGTCAGCGCCACCAAGCGGGTGATTCGGTCCTGGGCAGCCAAGAACGGACTTGAAGGCCTGCCGGTAGTCGCCCTCGGCGCTTCCTCCGGCGGGTACTTCGTGTCCAGGCTGGCGGCGAAGATGAGCCTCGCCGCCGTCGTGATTATGATCTCCGAGGGCGCGTTCGGCGGCTCAGCTGGCGCGCTGCCGGCGGTTTACCTGCCCGCGATGTTCATCCACATGCCGAAAGATAAGCGGAGGGCAGCGTTGGTGGATAAGAATTCGAAGATGCTGATGAAGAATGGCGTTGAGGTGAAGGAGCTCCAGAGCCTTGAGCTCCCTTTGACGCCTACGCTGCTTTCTGAGAGGATACCTGGGCTGGACCGCGGGCTATCAGAAAGGATCTGGACAGTGTTCAGGGAAGAAGGTTTCGTTGATGAGAAAGGATACATGAAGGAGGATGGCCGGGAAACGCCATGGAAGGATGCATTGGTCAAGAGGGGCTTCTGGGAAGAGGTGTCTGCGTTGGCTGATCACATCCAGGAAGAGCTGAATCTTGCTTATGGGTACCACGAGATGACGAGCTTACAAGCTGATGAGATGTTTGATTGGGTTGAAAAGCATTTGACATGAGGAGGCTATGGTTGGGTATGAAAAATTAAACTTGTTGGAGGATTGGAGGGGAATCCAAATGCAGCTCAAGGAGTTCTTGTGTCATGAACTGGTGAACATAGAAGACAAGCACGACATATTCGTTCTTAGTTTCGGATGAACTGACTTTATGTGAATGTGTACACTACTTTCAGCTTGCTGTTGCGATTGTGCAATGGATTTGTGAAAATACAGAGATACTTCAGTAAGATCTTTGATATGCAATGTTGACTCTCTGTTAATCAAGATGAGATTTTGCATAAAAATGTTCTTGTTTGTAACTGAATAATCACACTCGTGATCATCTTTTTTTTGAAAGTTAAGACCCTGCATTTATGCTAGCTCGAAATAAACTTTTGATCTGTTGAATTTGTTTTCCTTTCTGTACTTAATGTTATTTTCACTCTTTCAGGCACTAGTGTACTATTGTCTCCATTCTCCAATGGTCCAAATAAACCTGCAGTGACCATTTCATTTCGTTGTAACACTGAAATATATATATATATATATATATATATATATATATATATATATATATATATATATATATATATATATATATATATATATATATATATATATATATATATATATATATATATATACATACACACGCCTACCAAATCCGGATACAGTCCAAGCTTATTTCAGGGACTCCTCTGGTTTCCGACAGACCAACGTGATGAAACTTTTGTTCACTACTGTTAAGTTTGGCATGCTATGGTCTCTACTGAGTAGTATTAAGTAGCCTACTAATGCATGGAACAATCTCTGTATTTTTCTATAGACGAGGGAGTTTTTTTTTTTTCTCATTAGCTGTATGCGTTTAATCTAACTGAGCTGAAACAATTCTACATTTTGGCTCTTGATTCTGTAGTGATGTCAAAGTTGTAGGATACTGGGCAGGTTCAGTCAGCCATCGTTCTACAGTAGCTTCCCAGATTTATATACATGTTTACATGGCAGCTTTAAGATATGGTGTGACCTCCATTGTTGTAGGTTGTAGCTGGGCAGGTTCCACCATAAAAAACGTAATCAGCTGAGCTACGCTCAGTTCGCGCATAAGCATATGAATTTGGTCACCCTCCGACTGCAAAAACCAATTATGCTTATTCTGCCAATTTTACAAACTTGGAGACAAATCTGACAACCATATACTCCTATCCAATATCCCTTCAGGCGTTTATATCTGGGGTTTCTGGTCGCAGGTGCAATATACGACTCACTTGCCACACTTGTGTGTTCAAACTGAAGAGATCAAAATGATTTGCAACTTTGTATAAGACATGTTCGTTTGGTCGTATTTGGCTTATAAGCCATGGCTTATCAACCAATGAATAATATTTTTCTCTCACACCAAACCAGCCAATAGTACTTTCAGCCATGGCTTATAAGTCAAACCAGCCCAAACGAACAGAGCGGTTAATGTTACTATTCTTTTAGTTTACTAGTAAAAATAAGCCAGATGCTGTGGCAGGAAATAAACTATCGAATATTTGTGGGAAACATGGATAGGAATTGTTAGATTTAACGTGGGTATAACCCATATTTTATTTAATAGTTAAATCAAATAAATTCTAAGGCCATATTAGATGTTAGGTGCAATAAAATGGTGGACTGAATGTAGTGATGGCTGAACTTGTAACGATCATAGTTATGGCTGCGGTTACCAGTAACTCCCATGATTATGCTTGTAGTTACTAGTAATCCCCATGTTTATGGCAGAGGTTACTAGTAATTGATGGACGCTTCATGACGTCCAAGTTCATCCTCTGCACTTCACCTTCTACCTTCCGTGCTTATAAAAAGGAGTGCTTACCTTCAGCTGCGCGTACGAGATACGGTACAACCAGCACTATCGTTCTTCTATTGAGTTGCTCCCGAGTTTCCCCGTCCCAATCCTCTGCGCGCACAGAGTGTTGGGAGAGCAGGCCTCCAGAAACGCCGTCTGCATAGCGACACCTGCTCAAGTGTGCGGCGATCAGGTTTTTGGGAGCGTCTCCGTGACTTCTCGCTTCTTCCTGGTGACTGTCGACGTCTTCTTCTTCTTCCTTGGATCATCTACTTCCCGGTGGACGTTCGAGGGACTACACTGCGAACATCGTCCTGCATCGACTGTGGTCCGCAACATCAATCAACGCACTATGTTGACTAGTGCGCGTGGAGCCGCCGGTGCCTTGAGCATGAATCCCTCCGCTAGGTATACTTCTAATGTTACTGTCTGAAGGGACCGTGACGCCTAAGAGGGGGGGGGTGGTGAATTAGGCAACTTAAAAATCTACTTCTCAATTATAGCCTCTTTTTCTTTCCTTAGCAAAACCTATGCAAAAGATAAACTATCTAAATGTGCAACTACGGTTTTGCTAGTGTGTTGCTGTCTCTACCGTAAAAGGAGTAATACAATCAATGTAAATGCGGAAGCTAAAGAGCCAGGTAGAGATATGCAAGCTCCCGTCGACGACTCCGGTACCGAGGTATCGAGAAGCGTGCAAGCTTCCCCCTAGTCCTCGTTGGAGCCCCTCGCAAGGAATCCCTCGCAAGGGCCAAGCTTCCAGTCGGGTAACTCCGTGGATAACCTCGGGCCTTCCCCACGCGCAAGTGGGTCTCCGACGTGCCTTCCGGCAAGCCTCTCCCGGATGCTCCCCAGCGTCTTCACTATCAAGCTTTAGGCCGAAACGTCGCGGGCCTTGTTCCCTCCGGTACACGGTGGCGGCCACACCACAACCGCGGTTGGTGTGATCTCGCAAGACTACAAGCCCCTCCGATGTACAACAATGGTGCTCGCAAGCATCGAGTGGTAAGAGGTATACAAACCTCACTAAACATTAGGCCTAAACCTAGAGCAAGCGCATAAGCGGTGGTCTAATCAACCTAAGCACTTCGCAAAGCACCTACGCTAATCACCTAATGAATCACTAGGCACTATGCAAGTGGAGATTACTAAAATGGTGTATTAACACCCTTGATATATTTCCTCAGCTCCACTAAGCTCAAATGACCGGTTGGGGGTTGTATTTATAAGCCCCACTGAGAAAGTAGCCGTTGGGGACGAAATCCTGCTTTTCTGCTACTGACCGGACGTTGGAGTCGTCCTGATCGGACGCGTCCGGTCGTCCCGACCGTTGGAGCCGCGAACAACTGATCGGACGCTGCCAGCGTCCGGTCACAGTTTCGCCGCTCTGGAACCTCTCTGTACTCGACCGGACTCTGCTGTCCTGCGTCTGGTCGATCTGCCGCCAGCATCCGGTCCAGCGTCCGATCGTGCCTGTTGCTGAGCCTCTTGATCGGAGCGTCCGGTCACTTTCTTCCAGTATCCGGTCACTTTTGTGAGCTCGTTTCTTCGCGATCTTACGTACGGCTTGGTTCCTATCTTCATGCTTGGACTTTGCTTTAAATCTTAGGTCTTCTCTTGTGCTCCTAGGGTCTTGCTTATGGTGTTGATCATCGGATCATCACGTCGCCTTCGTCCAAGTCACGTCTTGCATCCTATTGAACTACAACACAATCACTTGCAAGTTCATTAGTCCAATTTGGTTGTGTTGGTCATCAAACACCAAAATGTAAAGTAAATGGGCCAAGAGTCAATTTTCCTTATAATCTCCCCCTTTTTGGTGATTGATGACAACACGATCAAAGCAAGCAAATAATAAAAATTTTAAATTTGAAAACTACCTACTTGCTAGGATGCAATGCAAGGGGCAAGTTTATATGATGCTAAAAGATACTACTTGTAAGATTAAAAGATACTATATAAAAACTTATCTTGCCCTTGCAAAATGTCCCCACGTGGTATATGGATTTAAGCCTTGCTTCCTACAAATTCTCTCCATTACATAGGCAATCCATAATCCACTATCCTCCCTTTCTCGGACCATTACCACTTGTAAATTATTAATGCTTGCTTTTGGTCCTCTAAATTCTCCCCCTTTGGAATCAAACACCGAAAAGGAAGACATTAGTAGCACAAGGGAGGGTCAAACTTTGTGAGCCTTTATGTGTAGAGTGGAATATGTCACAAAATTTAACTCTCACATTATATAGATTAAGCTCCCCCTAAATATATGCATACATATGATAGAAAGCAAAGTATATGCCTAATTAGCAAGTTATTGCTCAAGGGAATTTAATTTATATAATGCATGGAGAAAGCATATAAATATCAAAATGAAATCAACATGATGATATTGGTTTAGAAATACCACATGTAGAAACCAAATTGATTTCTATCACTTGCAATGAGTGGTGAATGTTTGAAGTGTGATGCTTAACTCCGGGGACTTCATTTTCCTTGCAATGTGACTACTACACACATGATAAACTTGAAAAGAATATTAGTCTCAAAGCATCCAACTTGTAGATTAACCTCCCCCTAAATTTGTGCACACACAAGTGTGGAATACTTGTAGGAATCATGCACATTGATTTTAGAGTCAAGAGTACCACTTGAAAGATGACATCTCATGAATGTGAGAATCACTTTCGAAGATAATATTCGGGAGAAATTATCTATAATTTAGACTTTGGCACATATTAAATGAACAATCAAAAGACAAGCTATGTGCCATGCTCCTAAACAATTTAAAACCATGTAGGTTTGCTCCAAGGGTTAAGAATGAAACCGAGCAAGCCTACCATAAGATATACCTAGTGTATGCATGACAAATGATGTAAGAATTCAAATGCAAACCTAGGCATAAAGAGTAACTAGATGCTAAAAGATACCAATTGTAGGAAAATTTAAATCTAATATCAATTGAAGTAAATTGAACCTAGTTACCTAACATGGAAAGGGGAATTTGGGTCCATAGTATTCACTAACCCACTTGGCAATGATTTTGTCCATCATGATGTACTCCATGAAATGCACCCATACTTTGCCAAGTCTCCAAATTCCCCGTTGTCCGTTGGACTTCTCACTTCTCTTTCGGGATCCAAACCTTCTTGGTGCTTTTCATGTTGGAAATGATTTTTTTGGCACCCAA